AAAGTTTAAATACTCAATTCTACCACAGTTTTCATACTATTCAACAATAGATTAGATAAACCTATAACATTTCATAGAACTTCTAAAAAAGAATGGAAAACTTCAAAGGTATTCTTATTCACTAATTTAATCAAATTTTTTTGTAGTAAAAATTAAAGGGTCAAGGCAGTGTAGGACTTCCCGCTGTACAGCACACTAAGTGTAACCAATTTATAAATTAGCATTGAAATAAACCATTGATAAGTTTCTCCAACCAAAAACAGTAAACGATTACTAAGATCAAAATAGTAAGCCTTATTACCTTGTGATCAATTTGTTCCTGTAAAGAAAACATGCGTCCATGTTCCAAGTCCTGGAAACAGAACTCTGTGTAAGAGACCTTCTAATGCCACGCAAGTAAATCAATCGAAATAAAATATATGAACCTTTCTTGAGTGAGAAACATGGCCGATAGCTGCTAGTTCACACAGAAACATCACTAGTGAGCCTAATGGTCACCAAATATCCATATAAGTAGCTAGAAAGAAAGTGCTTCCATTATTTTACTTACCAGTCACAGACGCAGTTGCCTCCAGCAGCTCATATAGAAATTCCACAAAGTCCTTGTAGAATAAAACAACACCTGCAACAATCAAATACACCAAAAGGCTCAAACAACCAAACAAACGTAACATGGAAAACAAGCAGGCAAATACACAATCAAGGCCACACCTGGGTTTCCAGGAACAAGCAGAACATGCAGTTTAGGAGCCTCAGCCCGAATCTCCAATACTTCAGAAATGTAACTGGACAAAAGGACATATTAATGATGGAATAAATAAATGAAATCGTGAATTCAAGGTTCGATATTCCAATACATACCCTGAAACATTGCATAATCGAAAATTAGCACGCCTTATAGGTTTGGAAAGCAAGTTATCGTTCACAGTCATGCCGTAATTAACCAAACACTTGGCTCTAAACCTTGTCCTGGAAGACAAAATTTTACAAATGAATTGGTAATAAAAAAATGTATTAAATTAATTTAGGGAATCGTTATAGCCGAAAATCTTATAGTGTAAAATTCAGGATAAAATGAAGTTATCATATGCGACCCAAATGAAAATGTAACAGAAATGCACATCTGACAGACAGCACTTATGAGGTTGATGCAGTGCCAAATTTGTATATGCACTTAGAACTTTAGAGAGAAGAAATTAAAACAAGCACTACTAAAAAGCAAGGAGAAAAAGGGTAATGGAAGAAGTAAGGGAAGGTACCTGGAGGAAGCGAGGGAAGGCAACAGCACAGAGTGAGCGAAAGATCGAGCAGTCCAACCACCCAGGCCAGGAAACATTAGTTACAACGCACAGAGTTAACTATTGGGGTTTTTTTTTGGAAAATTTATGTATTTATCCTTTTTTTTTTCTCTCTTACAAAAATTGAATACAAATAGTGAAAATATTATAAATAAATGAAGAAAATATGACAATTATAATGGAACACACGTTAAACGTATACTAGAATTAAAAACTTAGCATGATATTCGATGTTGTTCCTCTATTATTGCTAATAATTAACATTAAATGAATGAATACAGAACTTTTCTAATTATTATTTTTATTTGCATGATTATATATTTTCACATGTATTTCAATATATAACTATTAAAATATATACTTTAAATTAATTTTATTTTTAATTAATATAAAATTATTAAACTTTAATATCGTATTAAAAAATAAATTTTAAATTTTACTTAATTTCATATAATTAATTTATATTTAAATATATATTTTAAATTGATTTTATTTTAAATATATATTATAAAAATATTCTTAGTCTCGGTAATTCAATGCAACTAACTATTCCTTACACAAATTTAAACTCAAACATAAATTTTCAAGCAAGAGTGTGAAAATTCAGTAAAGTAAATGAAAAACTATAAAATGTTGAAGGAAATGGATATTTTCCTTCTGTCTTTGTGCATCTCATTTTCTTACTTTCCCACCCACTGGTCCACTGTATGATAAATCCATTGTATCAAAATAATGTGCTTTTGTAATTCATTTAAAATACACTGTAAATTATTAATCGTTTTTTAGTGTTGTTAATGGTTTTGTACTTAAATTGTTATAATCATCTTTGTTGATTTCTCAAAAGTTTTCTCAGCTAAGTTTTATATATTAGTGTAATAGGTAAGAATAATGAGATTTTGAGAGTGTAGTTAGTGCATTATTAATTGAGCGTAGATAATAGCTTATGTGAGTATTTTTTTACTATTAAAATACTAAATAAAATACTTTAAATATTATAAAAAAATACTTTTTTCATTTCATACATATTATAAAAAAATAATATATATTTTTTAATATATATTTTTTGTCGACGAATTATTGAATAGAATATAATTAAGAAAATTTCGTTATAAATAGGAAAGATATTTTTTATGCATTAAAATTTTATACTTGTTATATTTAGACTACCGTGTCAACTAAGTGATATATTCTGATTTAGTTGTTTTAATTTTTATTAATCAATATGGTGATTCCACACGTGATTAAACGTCGATAACTTTTATGTACTTCAATACATCTTTGATGTATTTGAATAAATATCGATATTTATGTAGAATTTTGATACTTACTCATTTGAATAAATAATATTTCAATTTTTTGTAATATAGTATATGACTGAATTTATTTATAATTATAACTTAACAAAAGCATATAATTTATAATTTAAAAAAATAAAATATTAGAGTGTAATATGCTCCACAAACTTCTTTCCTTTCCATGAACATGAGTATTGTGGGCTCTTACCTATAGAGTCAGGATGGGTCAAGTTTACTTTTGATGCAAAATCATGCTAAGTTAAAAAATAACATGCAATAGAGTATTATAGTTTGTGGTCGAGTAAGAATAATCTGACTTGTGGCCAGATGCGAACAAGTTAGCCTGTTCGTATCTAGTCTACGATCGTACTTTAAACTTTGTTGTCGTTACGTTTCTCGAGACTTGGGGGTTACTATACTTGTAAGATTATTAATAAAGATATAATTTTTTTTTGTAGTTGCTTTATGGTACGAGACGACTAATGAGTACCTAATGTTGATATCATGTTTTTATAAGTCAACTCACTATCAACTATAACTACTTTACTGAATTTATTGAAGTTCTTCACATATCTTCTAGTCATAAGACTAGGGGGTTGATGTACTGTACACGGTCTCCTTCAATCCGATCATAAGTCAGTCTCTTTCAACCTGGCCATAAGTCAGCTTCTCCAACTCGAGCGCAAACCAACATTCATCCATGGAAGACGAATACTAAAAAAAAGACGAAAGAAAAAACATTTGATGCATGAAAAAGAGAAGAAAACTATAAAACTCATTTTCGCATGGTATACTCAACATCATAACTACATATAAATGAAAATTGTTATAATATAATTTTGGTCATAATATCTTTATAATACTTTTCGCACACAGTATTATCAAACGTATTGTTCATATCATTTTCACTTAATTTTTTTTATGGCTAACTGTGATACTATATTCATAGGAATAATAATATAGAGTTTCTAAACTACACGGTTTAATTTTTCTTCAAACAATGTTGAATGAATATTATTGATTCATGGGAGTTGCTTTGGACGTTTAAAATTGCTTAATTGGTATATTTCGTGTAAGGATGGCATTCCATAAACTCAAGATCCAGTCAAAAGGACGAGTGCAATCCAAAGACAATATCTACTCAACTTCTACGTTATCCATTTTATTTTTTCACTTTCCTCACTCATAATTTATTATTTGCAAGCTGCCTGCAAGACTTACAATCTACGACATTTACTTGTAAAAAGAAAAGAAAAAAAACACTAATTCTTAAAAAGATAATTTATCTTTTTAAAAATATATGTTAGAATATTANATAAAAAAATGTATTAAATTAATTTAGGGAATCGTTATAGCCGAAAATCTTATAGTGTAAAATTCAGGATAAAATGAAGTTATCATATGCGACCCAAATGAAAATGTAACAGAAATGCACATCTGACAGACAGCACTTATGAGGTTGATGAAGTGCCAAATTTGTATATGCACTTAGAACTTTAGAGAGAAGAAATTAAAACAAGCACTACTAAAAAGCAAGGAGAAAAAGGGTAATGGAAGAAGTAAGGGAAGGTACCTGGAGGAAGCGAGGGAAGGCAACAGCACAGAGTGAGCGAAAGATCGAGCAGTCCAACCACCCAGGCCAGGAAACATTAGTTACAACACACAGAGTTAACTATTGGGGTTTGTTTTATGGAAAATTTATGTATTTATCCTTTTTTTTTCTCTTCTTACAAAAATTGAATACAAATAGTGAAAATATTATAAATAAATGAAGAAAATATGACAATTATAATGGAACACACGTTAAACGTATACTAGAATTAAAAACTTAGCATGATATTCGATGTTGTTCCTCTATTATTGCTAATAATTAACATTAAATGAATGAATACAGAACTTTTCTAATTATTATTTTTATTTGCATGATTATATATTTTCACATGTATTTCAATATATAACTATTAAAATATATACTTTAAATTAATTTTATTTTTAATTAATATAAAATTATTAAACTTTAATATCGTATTAAAAAATAAATTTTAAATTTTACTTAATTTCATATAATTAATTTATATTTAAATATATATTTTAAATTGATTTTATTTTAAATATATATTATAAAAATATTCTTAGTCTCGGTAATTCAATGCAACTAACTATTCCTTACACAAATTTAAACTCAAACATAAATTTTCAAGCAAGAGTGTGAAAATTCAGTAAAGTAAATGAAAAACTATAAAATGTTGAAGGAAATGGATATTTTCCTTCTGTCTTTGTGCATCTCATTTTCTTACTTTCCCACCCACTGGTCCACTGTATGATAAATCCATTGTATCAAAATAATGTGCTTTTGTAATTCATTTAAAATACACTGTAAATTATTAATCGTTTTTTAGTGTTGTTAATGGTTTTGTACTTAAATTGTTATAATCATCTTTGTTGATTTCTCAAAAGTTTTCTCAGCTAAGTTTTCTCAGCTAAGTTGTATATGTTAGTGTAATAGGTAAGAATAATGAGATTTTGAGAGTGTAGTTAGTGCATTATTAATTGAGTGTAGATAATAGCTTATGTGAGTATTTATTTACTATTAAAATACTAAATAAAATACTTTAAATATTATAAAAAAAATACTTTTTTCATTTCATACATATTATAAAAAAATAATATTTATTTTTTAATATATTTTTTTGTCGACGAATTATTAATAGAATATAATTAAGAAAATTTCGTTATAAATAGGAAATATATTTTTTATGGATTAAAATTTTATACTTGTTATATTTAGACTATTGTGTCAACTAAGTGATATATTCTGATTTAGTTGTTTTAATTTTTATTAATCAATATGGTCATTCCACACGTGATTAAACGTCGATAACTTTTATGTACTTCAATACATCTTTGATGTATTTGAATAAATATCGATATTTATGTAGAATTTTGATACTTACTCATTTGAATAAATAATATTTCAATTTTTTGTAATATAGTATATGATTGAATTTATTTATAATTATAACTTAACAAAAGCATATAATTTATAATTTTAAAAAATAAAATATTAGAGTGTATTTACCTATATGCTCCACAAACTTTTTTCCTTTCCATGCATATGAGTATTGTGGGCTTTTACCAATACAGTCAGGATGGGCCATGTTTACCTTTGGTGCAAATCATGCTAAGTTAAAAACATGCAATAGAGTATTATAGTTTGTGGTCGAGTAAGAATAATCTGACTTGTGGCATGATGCGAGCAAGTTACCTGGTTTGTAGCTAGTCTATGACATACTTCAAACTTATTTGTCGTTACGGTTTCTCGAGACTTGGAGGTTACTATACTTATAAGGTAATTGATAAATATATAACTTTTTTTGTAATTATTCTATGATATGGAACGACTACTAAGTACCTAATGTCGATATCATGTATATGTCAACTCACTATCAATTATAACTATTTCACTGAATTTATTAAAGTTCTTCACATGTCTTCTAGTCATAAGAAAACTAGGGGACTGATGTACTATACAGGGTCCCCTCCAACCCCACCATAAGTTAGTCTCTTTTAACCTGACCATAAGTCGGTTTTTCCAACTTGACCGCAAACTAACATCCATCCATGGAAAACGAATACTGAAAGACAAAAGAAAGAACCTCTTATGCATTAATAGAGAAAAAATCTATAAAACTCATCTTCACATGGTATACTCAACATCATAACTACATATAAATGAAAATTGTTATAATATAATTTT